GCAATGGGGAAAAGGATTTCCCCATTTAGATAAATGGGTCCTGGAAACTGGGCTAGCCATATGCAGAAATACTGGGCCCCTTCCTTACACCTATACCCCAAATTAACTCAAGATGATTAAAGCTTAAAGTGGAACCTAAAACATAAAAGACCCCTAGAGGATAACCCTAGGGGAATACATTCAGGACAGTGGCTGCACAAAGACTTGCTGGACTAAAACACCAAAAAGGTGGGCACAAAAGCAAAGTAGGACAAAGTGGATCTAATTAACCTTAAGAGGCTTCTGGAGCGCAAAGGAAACTATCATCACAGTGGAAAGGGCAAACTTACGAATGGAGGAAGAATTTTGGCCCGAATATGATTCATCTGACAAAGTGCTAATATCCGGATTACAAGGACACTTAACAAATTTACAAAAAAACCAAACAACCTACCAAAAGTGGTCAAAGGATATGAAAAGACCAATTCTCAAGAGACTTTATGTTTGGCCAAAAAAAATATGAAAAAAACGTTCATCAAGGAATGAGATGCATCTCCTGCCAGTTAGAATCGGGTGATCATAAAATTCACGGAACACGGATCGTGCGTGGAGAGGATGTGAGAAATGATGGAATGCTTTTACCCACTGTTGGTGGGGGTGTAATTGTTTTCAACATTGTGGGGACAGGCAGTCTGCCAATTCCTCAACGGATCTAGAACAGAATGAGCAGTTTGATCAGGCAATCTTGATTACTGTGCCGGTTGTGGGTTGTTGGGGTATAAACCAAGATTATAATCTTTACTTAAACGCATGCACGACGTATGTTCTGCAGACGTGGTGTACATTACTGGGTATATACACAAAGGATTATAAATCATTCTACTATAAAGACACATGCACACGTATGTTTACTGCAGCACTGTTCATATCAGCAAAGACTTGGAATCAACCCAAATGTCCATCAATGATAGACTGGATAAAGAAAATGTGGCACATATACACCACGGAATACTATACAGCCATAAAAAAGGATGAGATCATGTACTTTGCAGGGACATGGATGAAGCTGGCAAACATCATTATCACCAAACTAACACAAGAGCAGAAAACCAAACACCATATGTTCTCACTCATAAGTGGAAGTTGAACAATGAGAACACATAGACACAGGGAGAGGAACATCACACACTGGGGCCTGTCAGCGGTTAGAGGCTAGGGGAGGGATAACATTAGGAGAAATACCTAATGCAGATGACAGGTTGATGGGTACAGCAAACCACCATGGCATGTGTATACCTATGTAGCAAACCTGCACGTTCTGCACATGTATCCAAGAACTTATCAAGTGTAAAAAAAAAATTAAAAAAAAAAAAAAGCCCAGCCTTGGATAATGAGGAGGAAGCAAGTCATCTCTGAATCTCATTATTCCTAAAAGTAAGGCGAAAAATTCTAGCAACATTTCTTCAATGTTTACGAAAATTTCCACGGGTCCTGCTTAGGAAACCACCACCTTCTCCAGCTGGAACCTTGCCTAGGAGTCATGACTAAATGCCTTCCAAATTGCAGGACCTATTTAATTTGTGTGGTTTCTATCCCAAAGATTTCCTGTTAATTGATTGAAGTCTTGCTCTAAGTTTAACAGAGAAGCCAGGATTTCTTATAAGAAAAATGACTCTTTTCTTTTTAATCTTAGCAAAAGATCTGAAAAATTTGCTGTGGATTAAATAAGCCACCTCTGAGAGTGAGATGCAGGACCAGCAGAAGGATGGCACTAGGCCTTGCAACTCCAGTCCCTCCTTCCTCCATCCCCGAAAGTAGCATAACTTTGAACTTACATAAAACAGGAAGGGGGCCACAAAGGTGACCCAGAGAGGGATCATTCCTTCCCACAAACATAGTGTGATGGGAAAGCGTAAGAGACAAATGCAAAAGAGAATTCACCTAACACCTGGCCTTAAGCTCTGTTTATCTGTCTGAAACCAGGCTGTATGTATCAAACTGGGACAGCTTACTGATTATTATAAATACAGTCATGTGTTGCTTAACAATGGGATACATGCTAAGAAATGCATCATTAGGTGATTTTGTTGTGTGAACATCATAGAGTGTACTTACATAAACACACATGGTATAGCCTATGACACACCTAGGCTTTGTGGCACAGCTTATTGCTTCTAGGCTACAAACCTGTACAGCATGTTACTATGCTGAGTAGTGTAGGCAATGGTAACACAACAGTAAATATTTGTGTATCCAAACAGAGAAAAGGTAGAGTAAAACCATGGCATAAAAGATAAAAAATGGTACAGCTGTATAGCGCAGCTCCATTATAATCTCATGAGACCACCATTATATTTGTGGTCCACCACTGATCGAAATGTTCTTATGCAGTGCGCGACTGTAGTTAAAATATTAGTGAGCATGATACTCCTTTTTTTAAGAAAGGCATTCTGTTGCTTTAGTTCACATAAAATACATTCAATATTGACATTCTCTCACATTGTATAATACATGTGCAGCATGGAGACAAAATTCAGAACTGCTGTCCCCCATCCTAGGTCTAAGGAATGGTGAATCTTTTGGGCTGTTCTGCAGGTGAAGATGTGTCATAAAGTAAGGCCACAGCACCGAGAAAAAGAATGTTGACAAGGCACACACATAGCATCAGTTCTGTCTGGTTCCTGATGCTCCACACTCACACCAGAGAACCCAAGCCTTCGCTGAGAAGGGGAGCTCCCCAGTAGGAAGGCACATTCCTTCCTGCCTCCTGGTGGAACTCCAGCTCCCTCAAGGACAGTTCACATTCATCTCCTCTGTGGGGCTCTTTGAGATATAATGGGTTCCAGCCAGGAA